ACCCTTTCATCCCCACCCGCAGGTGGCATTTACAGCAGCCCAGGCCTGGACACTCTGAAGACCACCTGAGCTGCCTCCCTCCTGCTGCCAAGCAGACAGACCTGGGTCCAAATCCAGGCGCTAACTTTCAGCAGTGGTGCGGCCCCGGCCAAAGGACATCACCTCTTCAAGCCTCAGTCCCTCCTCCGTGAAACAGGGACAATTTTGAGAGCTTGATAGGCTAATGCACACAAAGGACCTAGCAGAGCATCTGACCAACAGCAGGTGTTCAACTCATGAGAACTGCTAGGCTATCGTTGTTACCGTTTTTTTCTTTTTTTGGCTGCGCTGCGTGGCATATGGGATCTTAGTTCCCCAACCAGGGATGGAACCCGGGCCCACGGCACTGAAAGCACCGAGTCCTAACCCCTGTACCTCCAGGGAATTCCCAGTTGTTATATCGTATTATTAAATATTGACCCTTTGCTAAAAACTCAGGGCTATTTATAGTGAAGGGTCAAGTCTCCTGGAGTGAGCAGGGAGAACGATAAAGAGAGAAGCCTGGGAATGGCTGCATGGGAGATGGAAGGGAGTGAGTTCTCCAGCCCAGAGGTAATCAAATTGCGGAGAGATTTGACTGACAAGGGCAGGAAGAGGAGCAGAGGTTTGACTAAAAGAGTTTCTCATCCCTCATCTCTCATCTCCGACCCCAACCAAGCTCTGAGCTGTCATTTCTGTGGAAATGGGGACTCGAGAATTCTCAGAGAAAGCGACCTTGAAGAGGGGGTTGAGGGCTAGAGACAGAGAAGGATTTGGCTGAAAAGAACCTGGCCCGTGGGGGTAGGAGGTGAAGAATATAACTTTCCATCTACTCCCAATACTAATGCTATTGTAAAAAATCCCATTTATTGGGAGTTCCCTGGTAGTCTAGTGGTTAGGATTTGGCGCTTTCAGTGCCATGGCCCAGGTTCAATCCCCGGTCGGGGAACTGAGATCCTGCAAGCCACGAAGCACAGCACAGCCACACACACACACAAAAAAAATCCCATTTATTGAGCAACTACTGTGTGTTAAGCCCTTTGCATCATCTTAATAATGATAATAACAGTTACTAAGGCAGCACAACATTCCAGCTGCATCACCTCATTGAATTCGCCCAACAGACCTACCAGACAGACACTATAGGGTAACTAACCCCTGTCTTATGGAAAGGGAAACTGAAGGAGAGATCGTCTCTCACCAAAGCAGTAGCTGACAGGGGATTCGAACCCAGGTCTGTGTGACAGCAGAGACCACACTTGCCACCACGAGCCAGTACCACTGCCATACTTGTCTCGTTAAAGTCCAGCTCTGGCCCTGCCCTCCCCTGCTCAAAACCCTCCATGGCTCCCCACCGCCCTCACAAGCTCTGCTGGGTACTCAAAACTCCCATGATCTGCCCCCAATTCCCGTGGCCCCTCTCACCCCTCTTTTCCTTCACTAGTCCAGAAGCTTCTCCCAAACGGAGTGCCAAGTCTATCTATGGTGAGTTGAGGGGCAAGGAAGCCCCGGGCCAAGAGAAACTAGGTCTGAGGGAGGAGGTAACTGAGGATCCGAACTCCTGGATCTGATGGGGGAAGTGTTTGGGGGTCTGGACTCCTTTTCTGAGGAAGGAGTCCAGAAGCTTCTCCCAAACGGAGTGCCAAGTCTATCTATGGTGAGTTGAGGGGCAAGGAAGCCCCGGGCCAAGAGAAACTAGGTCTGAGGGAGGAGGTAACTGAGGATCCGAACTCCTGGATCTGATGGGGGAAGTGTTTGGGGGTCTGGACTCCTTTTCTGAGGAACGAGGGGCTGGGGGTCTGGACTCCTGAGTCTGAGGGGGAGGGGCTGGGGGTCTGGACTCCTGAGTCTGAGGGGGAGGGGCTGGGGGTCTGGACTCCTGAGTCTGAGGGGGAGGGGCTGGGGGTCTGGACTCCTGAGTCTGAGGGGGAGGGGCTGGGGGTCTGGACTCCTGAGTCTGAGGGGGAGGGGCTGGGGGTCTGGACTCCTGAGTCTGAGGGGGAGGGGCTGGGGGTCTGGACTCCTGAGTCTGAGGGGGAGGGGCTGGGGGTCTGGACTCCTGAGTCTGAGGGGGAGGGGCTGGGGGTCTGGACTCCTGAGTCTGAGGGGGAGGGGCTGGGGGTCTGGACTCCTGAGTCTGAGGGGGAGGGGCTGGGGGTCTGGACTCCTGAGTCTGAGGGGGAGGGGCTGGGGGTCTGGACTCCTGAGTCTGAGGGGGAGGGGCTGGGGGTCTGGACTCCTGAGTCTGAGGGGGAGGGGCTGGGGGTCTGGACTCCTGAGTCTGAGGGGGAGGGGCTGGGGGTCTGGACTCCTGAGTCTGAGGGGGAGGGGCTGGGGGTCTGGACTCCTGAGTCTGAGGGGGAGGGGCTGGGGGTCTGGACTCCTGAGTCTGAGGGGGAGGGGCTGGGGGTCTGGACTCCTGAGTCTGAGGGGGAGGGGCTGGGGGTCTGGACTCCTGAGTCTGAGGGGGAGGGGCTGGGGGTCTGGACTCCTGAGTCTGAGGGGGAGGGGCTGGGGGTCTGGACTCCTGAGTCTGAGGGGGAGGGGCTGGGGGTCTGGACTCCTGAGTCTGAGGGGGAGGGGCTGGGGGTCTGGACTCCTGAGTCTGAGGGGGAGGGGCTGGGGGTCTGGACTCCTGAGTCTGAGGGGGAGGGGCTGGGGGTCTGGACTCCTGAGTCTGAGGGGGAGGGGCTGGGGGTCTGGACTCCTGAGTCTGAGGGGGAGGGGCTGGGGGTCTGGACTCCTGAGTCTGAGGGGGAGGGGCTGGGGGTCTGGACTCCTGAGTCTGAGGGGGAGGGGCTGGGGGTCTGGACTCCTGAGTCTGAGGGGGAGGGGCTGGGGGTCTGGACTCCTGAGTCTGAGGGGGAGGGGCTGGGGGTCTGGACTCCTGAGTCTGAGGGGGAGGGGCTGGGGGTCTGGACTCCTGAGTCTGAGGGGGAGGGGCTGGGGGTCTGGACTCCTGAGTCTGAGGGGGAGGGGCTGGGGGTCTGGACTCCTGAGTCTGAGGGGGAGGGGCTGGGGGTCTGGACTCCTGAGTCTGAGGGGGAGGGGCTGGGGGTCTGGACTCCTGAGTCTGAGGGGGAGGGGCTGGGGGTCTGGACTCCTGAGTCTGAGGGGGAGGGGCTGGGGGTCTGGACTCCTGAGTCTGAGGGGGAGGGGCTGGGGGTCTGGACTCCTGAGTCTGAGGGGGAGGGGCTGGGGGTCTGGACTCCTGAGTCTGAGGGGGAGGGGCTGGGGGTCTGGACTCCTGAGTCTGAGGGGGAGGGGCTGGGGGTCTGGACTCCTGAGTCTGAGGGGGAGGGGCTGGGGGCTGCGTCTCCTGCAGCCATTCTCCTCCCCCCACAGAACAGAGGAAGCGTTACTCCACTGAGGTTATGGCCAATGTTTCCCAGTATCCAGTCAATGTGAGTCTGGGGTCTGTGTTGCCACGGGGAGTCTTGCAGGAGGCAAGGCAGGCCTGAGGAGATGGGGGAGTTGAAAGCAGTTGGACCTCCAAGCAGCAAGAACTTGGGAAACTCAGTTTGCTCATCTGCAAAGTGGACTTCTGCCTTGCCTCAGATGTGGGTATTCAGTGGAGGAACTCAATTCCCCTTGAATCTGCCAACTTTTCCTCTGGACCAGCTCCTGTGCTGGATAGTTGGACCACAGGGACAAATCAGATACAATCCTGGATGAGTAGGGGTCAGACAAGGTCCAGAGGTACCAGCAAAATTGCCAGGTGCTCTAACGGAGGTGGAGCTGCTTAGAAGGAACTAGATAAAATCCAGACCATTCTCTGCCTTCAAGGGGTCTAGCTGGAGAGCTAGACCCAGGGAAGACACACAAAGGGCACTGGGAGGAGGTGGCGCAGGTGATCAGAGAAGGCTTCCCAGAGGAGGTGTGCGTAGTCGCAGGCTATAAGGCTGATTCCAGGGGCTTCTCAGCCCACCTGGCTTCATCCTGGGACTCACTGCTTTCTCCAGCACCTGGTGACCTTCTGCCTGGGTGAGGAGGATGGAGTGCACACGGTGGAGGACGCCTCGCGGAAGCTGGCCCTCATGGACAGCCAAGGCCGCGTCTGGGCCCAGGACATGCTGCTGCGCGTGTCTCCCAAACACGTTGCGCTGCTGGACCCAGTCTCTAAGGTGCCACGGGGCACACGGGTGGAAGGAGCAGCTTGGACTGAGCCCACCAAGGCATGGAGAGCCCTAGGGACCTCAGGGATCTGAGTGTGAATCTTGATTCCTGCACGTCCTTCCTCTAGGAACTCTGGCAAGGGACCCCCGCCCCCTTTTTGAAACTCATTAGCCTCATCTATTAAACAGGGGTGTTATCCCTGGCCCCTCAACTTGGGGTGGAGGCTGCCCTGCGCAGTGCCTGTACGTGCTGGCACTGCTGGCACTGCTGTCACCCCTTAGGAGTATCCTTGGCTCAGGGTCTCAGTTTACCCGCTGTCCCACCCTCCACCGCACAGGAGGAGCTGCAGTCTTACCCGCTGAGCGCCATCGTGCGTTGCGACACGGTGATACCGCCGGGCCAGAGCTGCTCACTGCTGCTGCTCGTGTGCCAGGAGCCCGAGCGCACGCAGCCCGACGTGCACTTCTTCCAGGGCCTGCGTCTCGGGGTGAGCGAACGGGGGTCGCGGCCACAGACTGAGACCCTGCGGATTGCGGGCGCGGAGCGGAAACTGGGCGGAGTCCGGAGCCGGACCTCCAACGGGGCGGGGCCTCTAAGACGGGGGGGCAAGGTGTACAGCAAAGGCTGGGTCAGGGCCAGCGGAGGGGGCGTGACCTGTAAAGGAATTCTGGGAGGGAGGGGGATTTGAGGACCGATTGAACGTAGGGTCGAGAAGGAACGAGAGCGCCGAATGCAGACGTAGGCTAAGAGGTAAGAGCTCGGACAGAACGTGGACAGAACATGGAAGTGAAGGTCTGGGGGAGCAGCCAGAACTAGGATGGGAGTGAGTGTGGTCTAGGGGCGAAGCGCCATCTGGACGGGGCCTCCGTGGTTGAGGGAGTGGCCTAAGGCAGAGACAGTTTAAGAGCCGGGGTGTGAGTTCGGGGCGTGGACGTGCGTGGGCGCAGTGCGTGGGCGCAGTGCGTGAGCTATGACTGGATGTGGTCTGGGGCCGAGCTGAGAAATCGATCCGGAGAGCCGCCTGGGCGGGCAGTGGGTGGGTTGGGGTCGTGGCCTGACGGCGTGATTGACAGGCGGAGCTGATCCGAGAGGACATCCAGGGGGCTCTGCACAACTATCGCTCGGGCCGCGGGGAGCGCAGGGCGGCGGCGCTCAGGTAAGGGGTCCGGGCTGGAAGCTGGGGACAAGAGACGACGGGGAGGTCTTTGGGGAGCCGGCTCCCCTCTTTGGGCCTCAGTTTCCCCATCCGAGAAATCGGTGGATACCACTAGCCTAGAGCAGAACGAGTTTTAAATGGAGTCAAACAAACCCTGTACCAAGTGTAATCCCCTCCCCTCGGTTTCTCCTCCCTCTGCCTCAGTTTCCCTCCGGAGAGGTGCTCTCCCATCACCCATATATCGGATTTCTCCCTACCACTGAGAGCCTAGGTTTGACCCCTTTGGGCCACAGTGTTTCAGATTGAAGCCCCGAATTTCTCCCCTCCCTGGACCCCTCGGTGTACCCAGCCTCAGTTTCCCCTTCTTCCCCCGCAGGGCTACGCGAAAGGAGCTGCAGTGCCACCCCTCGCCCGCCGCCGAGACCCCGCCCCTGCAGCAGCGCCCGACAGTCCGCGCCGCGGTCAACACGGTGGAGCCGGTCGCGGGCCGCGGGCGACCCCAGGCGGCCCCCATCCCAGAGACTGCAGAGATGCGGAGGCCGGGCCGGGCGGAGGTCTGCAGCAGCGCTGACCCGGCCTCTCGGGACCTGGGCCCCTGCGGCCCAGACCTGGCCAGTCTGCAGGCGGAGCGGGAAGTGGTGAGTGAGGCGGGGCTAGGGCCGGGGCGGGACTGGCTGCAGGTGTGAATCTTCTGTCAGGGGGTGGGGCTTGGTTCTGGGGACTTGGTCAGACTTCTGGGGTGTGGCCGGCGGGGACAGAATGGGGGCAGGGTCAAGCATCAGAGGGCGTGGCCTGGCCTAAATGTGCCTAAGCGCTCTTGGTTTGAGAGGGCTTGGACAGGGGTGATGAGGGTCCAAGATTCAGGGGTCCCACGCATCCCCCTGCTCTGCCCCCCAGGACATCCTGAACCACGTGTTCGACGACGTGGAGACCTTCGTATCAAGGCTGCAGAAGTCTGCCGAGGCGACCCGAGTGCTGGAGCACCGAGAGCGCAGCCGCAGGACCCGGCACCGGGAGGCCGGGGGTGAGGCGGCGCCACCGAGTGGCAATCCTGAACACCCGCTTCCTGGCCACTCCCAAATATCCACCCTCTCCCTTGGGTCTCCCCTTGCACCCCCTGCCAGTTTGACACCCTATCGCGATCTCACTGGGTCTCTGCCTCTCTCTTCGACCCTGCCTGACGCTGTCTGCATGTGCCCCATCACGGCGCCTGCCTCTCTACCCACAGAGGGCCTCCTGACGCTGCGGGCCAAGCCGCCCTCAGAGGCCGAGTTCATTGATGTGCTTCAGAAAATCAAGTACGCCTTCAGCTTGCTGGTGAGGACGCGTTCATCCCGGGGCGTCAGGGGGCGAGGGGAATAACAAACCTGACCTGTCCGCACACTAATACCAGCACCTCCCCGGCTCCACAGGCCCGGCTGCGCAGCAACATCGCCAACCCCTCCTCCCCAGAACTGCTGCACTTCCTGTTCGGACCTCTGCAAATGGTGAGACACCCCCGGCCTGAGGGCTGCCTGCAGCAGGAGGGTTCCACTTCAAGAAGGTCTGATAGCTTGCCCACTCTTGCGCCGCTGCCAGATTGTGGACACCTCGGGCGGCCCCCAGTTCGCGAGCTGCGTGCGGCGGCCGCATCTGACTTCCGAGGCTGTGGCGCTGCTGTGGGACAACGTCACCCAACTTGAAAACGTTCTCTGGACCTCGTTGGGGGACTCTTGGACCCGCCCGGGGTAAGGGGCGGGGCTGGGAGGCTGGAGGAGCGGCAATTTAGGGGCGGGGCTGGGAGGCGGGTGTCGTGGTGATTGGAGAGACCGGCCTGAAAGGCAGGAGGCGTGATGATCCAGGGGCGGAGAGGGCGGGGGGG